GCCCCTGGCGGCAGCCCCTGCGGCCGGGAGCCTGCGAGGGCCCGCCACTGGATGTTGTGCTGCAAGGGACCGACCTTGCCGGCCCCAGCCGCTTGCTTTTGCGGCCCCGAGCTGGCAGCCGGTAGCTGACGCCCCAGAAGCCTTTGCGGATCAGGCGTAAAAAAGTTGGCGGAAAAAAAACCTGTGAGTTTGCATGCAATTGCTTCCGGACTTTCTCCTGAATGCCCGTCTCAACCCTGCTCCCATCCCATTGGGCACAAAGCTTGTCCAGCTTTGCAAATGTCGGACGTGTTCACGCGATCTTTTATGTTTTGCAACCGTTTCGCCAGTGACAAGTGGAGCTCGCAGAATTTGCGTCCCTGACGCGATTGTTGTCGTTCATCTCACTGACACTTTGTTGTATGGGGTGCAACTCGCTCTTGAACAATTGTGCAATGGCGGACATGGACTCGGTCTCTGTTCGCTCAAGTTGCTTGCCAGGTGTAGGTTGGTGTTCATCGTGAGCCTTTGCAAGCAGTGGGGTACTCGGCGAATAACCGCCTCTCAGCCTGTCAGCATCCATATGTCGCCGTGGGTTTGGCATTGGAGCTGCCTTCCGGTCAGAAGAATCAGCACGTGTTTTTGGAAAAAACGTGTGATGTGCAGGAAACCTGCCTCCGCCAGCCTGGCAGCCTGAGGCTTGGTAGCAGTATAAGCAGAACGGGCACGGCATCAGCCCATGCGGCCCAGTAGGCTGCTGGCTCCCATCCTTCGTCGGTCAAGAGCAGGCCTAAACCACACATGGACGCAATGCTTTGGGCCCAGAGCACCGTTTTGGTGCGCATCAAATACTGCACCACCACGTCCAAATGCTTCTAGTTTGAGCCGGGCTTGAGTCGGGAGAGTTCGAAACCTGCAAATTTTCGGATTGTGTTTGAAGTTTCTGTCAGAAGCACAAATCACCGCCGGCACCAAGATACAGTAACTGTGCGTCTCGGGCCCGTGTGCCATTGACAGCTTCGCCCGTTGCCCACATCCTCAATGGCCAAAGCAGTCCGTCAGTCCGCACCACGCCAGGTCCACCGGCGCGTGAGGTCGCGCAGCCGGAAAACGTAGAAATTTTGATGTCCAGTTGAGTACTGGTCAGGGTTTTGCAGTCCAAGGTGTTGCCAGGTCCCTTTGCCATCCGAATGCGTACATCGTCCAAACAGATTATGCTGCATGCATCCCGCCTGTTGTCGGACTCCCGCATGGTGCCCACGAAAGGAGCTGTAGAGGAAGTTCATTGGGTCTAGGCATGGGAGAAGGCGTCGCATCAAGGATAAACATATTATATATAATATATAAGTACATATTTTTTTCGCGGTTTTTTTTCCTGGACGATCCGCGGTCCCAGTGCATGGCGGTGCTTAGCGTGCCAGAATCCAGGGCGGCATCCACAGTCCAGGGCTTTGAGTATATGCTGGCGACAGTATGCGACAGTCCAAGTCCAAGGCTCAGTGCTCAAGCTGCAGCGGGAGGCGGCCGGCAAATGGGGGAAAGCTGGCGGCAGGGTCTTCAGAAAGGAGATCATTGAACATAGGTTCAAACAAGTCCTGAAATGGCTGGGGCTGATCCTGGGGGTCATCTTATGCCTCTTGAAATGCCACCGCAGAAGTCGTGGAATCCTGGTTCAAAACATCGAAAACAAAAGAAAAATAGCCAAGTGAAAGAGGACGGTTTCAATCATTGCGGGGGCCCACCCATTGAAGAATCCGAGCCACAAATCTTAGCAACCAGTTGTTTTGAGCTTTAAGATTCTAGGCATTATCCAAAGATCAGAGCGAAACTTGCAAGGATTTTGTGCTCGAGCTGCTCAGGGCAAGGGGTGGCAGACACGAGAGACGTGACCAAAGAGTTCAACGTCGGTCACACTTTCGATTTTTTGTTGTTAAAACCCGTGATCCAAGAGTTCGAAACCGGTCAATTTTCGTTATGTGCATGAAATTTATCTAGGAACCAGAGATCACAGCCGGAATTGGGATAGCACCCAGACTTTGGAGATCATTTATATCATCTACGGCCGTTGGTTTACCACTGGTCGCTTTAAATTGCGAGTCATCCAGCATTTGCCGGAGGTTGTTCGGCCGCCTGAAATATTTCATTCGTTTCTTTTTTCCTGGTCACTCGGTCCTGTGTTCCTGTGATCCTCTGGCCCGGTCCTTTTCAAATCCTGTACTTGCAGCAATTGAAATGCTCCCAAGCCAACAAGCGCTGCAATTTACCACGTTTAAAGCGTTCCAAACGTTATATTTGACGCGTTCCAAGACCAGCAATTGCTGTACCTTACAAGAATCAGAAGCGTTTCAGACAAGAAAATGCCGTAATGCGCAGCGTTTGAAACGCTTCATGACCAAAATCATCTTTACATTTTTCTTCACCATCTTTCATGGCATCATGTTTCAACATCTTCCATCATCCGCCAGCACTTTTCATGATTTTTGATCATTTTCATCCGTTGTAGCGAGCTGCTATCATTTTTCATCATTTCATCATTTTCAATCGTTTGAGGGTTCTTATGATTTTCATCATTTTTCATAATTTTCCATGGCGACTGCCGGGGGAAATTAAAGGCGCCCATCCCACTTGCCCCAATTGCCCCGCTTGTCCCCGCCACTTGACCCACTTGACCCGCTTGACCCACTTGCGCCACTTGCCCCTTGCCTACTTGCCCCACTTGCCCCGCTTGCCCCACTTGCTTGTGAGCCAGGTGGGCCAAGTGGAGCAAGTGGGGCAAGTGGGTCAGTGGGGCAAGTGGGTCAAGTGGGGCAAGGGTCAAAGTGGAGGCAACTGCGGCAATGCGTGCGGCAAGTGGGGCAAGTGGGTCAAGTGGGTCAAGTGGGCATGGGGGGCAAGTGGGTCAAGTGCGGCAAATGGGGCTAGGTCAAGTAAGTGGGTCAACTGGGGCAAGTGGGGAAGGTGGGGCAAGTGAGGCAAGTGGGGCAAGTGGGTCAAGTGGGCCAAGTGGGTCAAGTGGGTCAAGTTGGTCAAGTGGGGCAAGTGGGGCAAGTGAGGGGGCAACCGCGGACCTTTACACCCCCCCAACGCCGACATTCTGAATTTTTTTATCATAATTTTTCACATCATTTTCCATCAGTTCCATCATTATTCATAATCTTCCATCATTTTTCATCATTCTCCATCATTTTTTCATTGTCTTCCATCATTTTCATAATTATCCATCATTTTCATCACTCTTCAATATTTTTAGTATTTTCCATCAGCTTGCATTTTTTCATCATTCTCCACATTTTTTTGTTTCAGAATCACGCTCTCGTGTGAGGCGTCCTTGGATTCCAAGGCCCTAACCACACCACCCCAACAAAAAAAACAACCACATCAAAAATCCACCCCGTGGTAACATCGAAGCTGTTACACCCACTGAGGATTTCGAGCCACAGATCTTCGCAACCCGTTTTCCTGAGTTTCAGGATTGTGGGCATTAGCTTAAGCAGGAGTAAGGTTGCAGGGATCTTTGGCTCGAGCTGCTCAGGGCACGGAGGGCGGACAGGAGAGACACAACAGGACCATGACCAAAGAGTTCAATGCCGGTCACCTTTACAAAATCCTGCGGCGATGGGCAGCTCTCGCCTCGCTGGCAGCGCTGCGCGCATATGCGTGCTCGTTGCTGGAGTTGCCCGTGGCGCCGACTCCGTGGATGGCCAGGAGGTCCCGTTGGGCGACCTCTTAACAGGCAAAGGGCCACCAACTGACAGCCGGCTGCTGTACTGAGACGACGAGCCACAACGGCTAGTCGCTAACCACTGACGAGGGACACCTTTGCAGCCAGAAAAGACGTGCCAAAGAAAAATAGTTTTTGGGTCAAAACCCGTGATTCCGCTACAGGCACAAGAGGGCTGTGATCCAAGAGTTCGAAACCGGCCAAGTTTCATTGAGTGGATGAAGCTTATCTAGTAACCAGAGATCACCGCCGGAATTGGCACAACACCAAGATCTTGGAAATCATTTAGATCATTTGCGTTGTTCGCAAGGTTACCACCGGTCGCGTTGGATTGCGAGTCATTTGACATCTGCCAGAGGCTGTTCGGCCGCCTGAAATGAATGCGTCCATCAAGTGGTCGAAATTTGGAGCTCTCCGGGCGATGGGCAAAATGTGTTTGAACACCTTGCCGGCTGGCACAGACATTGGCCTGTTTCTGCCTGATAACCCTTAAGCCGTGCTGCCGCCTGGCAACCGAGAAGAAGATTCCGAGAGCAGATGCCCAGGTGTTCTAACACATGACAATAATCGTATCGCAGGCCTTGGCTGTACAGGTCTTGTCTGATTCTGATTTTGTTTCCAGTTAAGGGGCTATGGGGGCCTACAAGCGCCTCATAACGGGCTTATGGGGGCTTGTATAGGGGGTTTATTGGGAGCTTCCAGGGGGTTTTGGGAGGCTTACCTGACGCCTTTAAGGCTTATAGGGGGATATAGGGGGTTTATTGTGGGCTTGTAGAGGCCTCTTAGCAGGTCTTAGGGGGCTTATAAGGGGTCAACAAAGCTTTCATTGGGGCTTTATAGGGCGCTTATAGGGGTGTTATGGGGGGCTTGTAGGGGCCTTGTAGGGGGCTTTAAGGAGCTTGCGGCGGGCTTGTAGGAGGCTTATAAGGGATGAGCCGAAGGAACATGGCGTTCGTTAAGTGCGACCGGGATGCTCGCTCCGCTTTTAAGATGCCATTGGATGTGCTAAACAGGTGGGATGGGCATCATCTACGAACCAAGCTAAACGAGTGTGTAGAAGGCATTGTTTCTTTCTTCGTTGCTGGCATACCTCCAAACAGTGTCCTGGGAAGCCTCCACTTGCCACGAAATGGCAAGTCCTTACAGTAGCAAACTGTTTTTTGGGCCGGCCGAAATTTCCACACTCAAGTTGACATAGAACTCATCAGGATGATGATGATGATGATGATCATGATCATGATCATCATCATACGGATGGTGTTTCAGGAAATTTCCTGAAATCATTCAGTAAGTGACACAGGACAACTTCACCAGCCGCTGCGTCGCACGAGCGCTCTGGCCGACACACGGCTGATGGGTTGTTCCGCAGGCCCGGCAAGATGCGGTCATTCGGTCATTCCTGTTGCTTGTGGCTGCGCCTTGTTGTTTTAGGCAAGTTAACCGTGGACTGGCGTACATCGACCAAGCTGCCAAAGAGGCCGGGCGCATTACGTCCGACAAATTTTGTTATCAGTTGCAGTTGCGCATTGAGCCAGGTGCACATGCGCAATGAGCACTTGTCTCGATGCCTCGAAGAGGTCCAAGTGGACATTTCAAGGATTGCTGACCGCATGCAGGCCCCAAGTACATGTCTTCGACGACAGCATGAGCAGAATGCATTCTGTGCTCGTGAAAGGCAGCATCATGCCAGGTAATTCGTGCCAACCTTGCAGTACATGCTCATTCTGAAAATGGTCGTCAGGCTGCTCGACGCGAACGGGAACGTGGTCGTGCAGCTACGAGTGCTGCAGCTTCGCGCATGTTCGCAGAGCCGGCCATGGGCAAGCAATCATTTTACGCCCCGAGGCGGTAAACTTTTTTTGGGGCTGTATAAGTTCAGCTGCCAAATGAGACGGAGGTGGTCTTTCGCGAAGGTCCGGATTGAAAGCAACAGACAATATTTGAAGCGCAGAAATGTCAGAACACCAGCACACATTGCTTTGTTGGCTAAGTGTGCCATGGCTCAGATCATTGCAAAGTCGGAGATTGGCATGCGATATCCACACCATTTCAAACCATGGAAACATGATTTCCTGCACATCCTTGTGAGGGCAGCGGAGCCTCCGGTACGACCGGCTGCCAGCAGGCATTCCGTTGTCCTTCAACCTGCTACTTCAGTCGATATTTGCTTCAGGACATATTTTTCGACTTACGCACGGGCTTCTTCACCTCGAACGAAGACATCGTCCCGAAAGTCAGGATTGGAAGGCGCACGTCAGCTAGTCTTCTTTTTTTTGGGAGTGATGCACATCACACACGCAGCAGGGTGAGCAAGTTCAAGATTGGTTGTGAGTCACGCAGTATGGCAATCAGGATGTGTGGGGTTTGAATTTAAAGATCTTCCAACAAATAGCTCAGCTGAGTGTTGTGCCGTTGTATTGTTGTGCGTATGGACACTGCACGGACATGTGCTGGTTTCTGGACACGTGCAGCTGGAAACATGTATAGGCTTCAGCCAAAGGTCCAAAGGTATGCTTACCTGTTTAAGTTGCACCAGGTGAAAGCCCACGATGTGCGCGAGCAGCGCAGGAAGGTTTCCGTTTTGGAGGCCACATGTTACACGTGAAAAACAAGCTGTTATTTGTCCAGGACGAACTTGATCAATTTGGGGTGTCCAAGAAAAGGTTTTGGAGGTTAATCATGTTTTTTGGTTCGAGGCTGTTTTGGAGCATCATGGTTCAGACGCTAGGCCTAGGCAAGGAAGTCTACGAACACGGTATTTGCAAAGTAAGTGCCTGGCGCTTCTTGTTACACCCCTGACAGGTTGGCAGCCTCCATCGCGGCCGCTAAGTGAGACAACGAGCATAAGGAAACCCGATCAGATCTTGCAGGAGTGCTCTTGAAAGTTGAAACAGGGAACAGGGATTACCCCAATACATGGTCAGGCATCTGGCATTTCTGGCCCCGCCCCCCCTCCCCCAGGCTGTGGTTGCGAAGGGCTGTGGACATATTTAGGCGGAGAAATGCAAAAATTGCCCGAAAAGACGAAAAGCCAAAAAGTTTTTTCAGGCAATTTAGCACGAAAAGTACAAAAAGCCGCAAAATCGGAAAAGTTCTGAAAAGTGCCGAAAAGTACAAAAAACGCGAAAAGTAACAAACAAGACGAAAAGTCGAACAAAATCGAAAAGTTCGGAAAGTGCTCAAAAACAATAAAACACACAAAAAGTGGAAAAGTAACGAAAAACAGAAAAAAACGAACACAAAAAAACACACACGAAAAGCTTTTTGCAAAAATTACACGAAAAGTCGAAGAGTGCAACTTGTTGCGAAAAGTGAAACTTTTTAAAAGTGACCGAAAAGTCGAAAAGTGCAATTCTAGTTGTTAAAACTTGTTGCAAAAAGTGCCAAAAAGTCGAAAAATAACCTCTTGAACAACCTACCGAAAGTCGAAAAGTGAACCTTCTGCGAAAAGTACAATGTTTTGCGAAAAGTGTCCGAAATGTCGAAAAGTGATTTTTTTTTTCGAAAAGTTAGATTTTTTGAGTTTCTGCCCGAAAGTCAAAAAGTGAGAAAGTTACCGGAAAAGTCGAAAAGGGAGAAAGCTGCCCGAACAGTCGAAAAGTGCAACTTTTCGCCAAAAGTTTGACTTTGTATACATATTTTTTTGCCCCAAAAGTCGAAAAAATCAGAAAACTGCACGAAAAGTCGACAACTGCAACTTCTTGCGAAAAGTGCAATTTTTAAGATATCTGACCGAGAGATCGAAAAGTGACCATTTCTCCAGGAATTCAGAGAGTTCGATTTTTTTTACTAATCTTTTTTTTGCCCGAAAAGTTGAAAAGTGAAAAATTGCCTGAAAAGTCGAAAGGTGCAACTTTTGCGAACACTTTTTGAGTTTTTGACCGAAATGTCGAAAAGTGACAATTTCTGCAAAAAGGGACATTTTTTGCGCAAAGTTTGACTTTGAATTTTGGCCCGAAAAATCGCAAAGTGATAAACTTGCCCTTTGCGACAAGTTGACTTTTATTTTTTGCCCGAAAAGGCGAAACGTGAAAACTATTCGAAAAGTCGAAAAGTGCAACTTTT